TCTCCTCTTACATTTAAAGAGAAGAAATAATTTTGCTTTCTTACCAACGTACTATTATATTTTTCTGTATTGATAGGTTCAAAAATTCCATGATCTCCGTAACTTTTATTCAATTTAGTAAATTACATGGTCGTTTCGGGCTCCTGGCCTATCATCAGAAACTGGACTATGCCAATGATAAATATGTATTATTTTTCCATCCCCTTTATTTGTTGAGGGGAATGTCGTCAAAATTTTCCGTTGCATACGGCCAATGCAGTTGGACAAGCGTGTGAAGTCGTATTTGTTTTTTTTTTGCTTTTGTCAGGCCTCCCTTGTTGGACAGGGGAAATCCGATTAAACCTAATTATCACTATCTAAAATAGGTCGGACCGATTCGGAGAAGGGTGAAGAATAGCGACTGAAGTTTTAAAACAATTTTGACGACATTCCCCTCAACAAATAAAGGGGGTGGAAAAATAATAAATATGTATCATTGGCATAGTCCATTTCTGATGGTGAACCTGGAGCCCGTAACGTAAATTTAAATTATTAAATTGAATAAAAATTTTCAACCACGGAGATCTTGGAATTTTTCAACCTATCAATAGAGAAGAATGTACCGTGGAGTTGGTAATATATAAAATAAGATATATTTTTGAACATAGATTTCTGTACATCTCATTTAAGTGTCAAAAATCATGATTGTACGGTAGTAAAAGTAGCACTGCACTCACAACATCGATTTTATTGTTTTCGAAGTTATTTGCCTGTTGTTAGTTTTCACCTAAATTGTATATGGTCTTCCGATTAGATTTTCTCTTGGAAAGGAAAAGCCATTACTCTTTCATTTTAAAACACTTTCTAAAACATTTGGTTTACCGATTTCTACGTATGTTCACGTTTATAAGGTTATGTAATGACAAATGAAATATGTTAAAAAAACAAAAAAGTTATTTATTTGAAACAAGAAACTGTTCTAAGGCAGGTTTTGCTTTAAATATTGTTTCCTCTAACATTTCCCTATTATTAAATTTTTACTAGTCACTTTAATTCCGTTTTATGTCATCTTTGGATGAACAAACGCGTTTTCACAGTTTATTTCAATACATTTTACGATCATACTAAAAAAATATTTTATCCGCACGTGCTCAACTAAAAAGATTCCGATTGAAATTTCATAGTATAATTTTATTTTTATGGATAGTTTGGAAAAGTTAATAATGAAAAAAAGAAGGAATAGTTTAGCCTCAAACGCACATATTTTTAAAATTTATTCTTAGGGTTAGAAGCTGAGCCTTTGTTTATGGTATTAATGATAGGTACATGATGTTACGGATGGATGAAGATTGAATGAGATGGTTATTAGTAAGTAGAAAAATTGTAGACAGGCGTCAGACTGTTCTTATCAAAGTTCCATAGAGTTGAGAACATTTTTTAAATCAATTTAAATGGTTTTTTTAACCATAGATTTTTGCCTTTGTTATGCATATATTTTAGGGTTTAAACAGTCGATTTGTCTTTTTATGTACGAAAGAATTTTAAGTAGGATCATATTAAAAGAAATTTGATGTAAAATAATACCTGTTTTTTCGGAGTACTTAACGTCTTGCAACTAGTCGGTTGTCAAGGACGAGGATTTCTATCAGAACCTTCAAATCAATAATTTTTACATTTGTATTGTACAATTTCATGGGCTGTGCGGGGATTCGAACCCGGAACCGCTAGCATATACAAATCGGACGCATTAACTTACTTGCTGAAGCTAATTCCTAAGATTAATTAAAAATATTTTATGCAAACTCTTAAATACGAATTTTTAGTAATAAAAATAGTAAAATTTTTAGTAATAGCAATAAAAATAGTCTCATAACGAAAAGCGAATTAGTCGAATCTGATGTTCAGTGTTCCACTTTAAAATTGATATTACACGAAGTCAACATTATTACAAAATCCATTTTGTTTAGTGGTCTAATCTCAATGAATTATTCTTTTTTTGTAAGGTTTTGTTTGAAATGAAAAAGTTAGTGTCACGAGCTGGATTCGTACTCACGACCTTCGGCTTATTAGATAAATTCTCTAATTTCGTGGTCCGCTTGACCAATTAATACATTACAATTAATTAAGGTTTTTAGTTGAGATGAAAAAAATTTAATGGCACGAGCGGGATTCGAACCCACGATCTTCGGCTAGATACGCCGCTGCTGTACCACTTGAGCTATCGTGACCTCGAGTGGTAGAGCAGCGGCGTACCTAGCCGAAGATCGAGGGTTCGAATCCCGCTCGTGCCATTAAATTTTTTTCATCTCAACTAAAAACCTTAATTAATTGTAATGTATTAATTGGTCAAGCGGACGACCACGAAATTAGTGAATTTAATGAATTAAAATGAAGTACACTTCACTAAAGCTCTCCGTCGCCATTTCAATTGTCGTCGCGAATCAAAACCGATTACACGACATTTGAAAAATGGCAAAAATGAAGGAAAACATAAGGTGGGGTTGAGATAGGAAGTTGATGTCCGAGTGGATCGAGGTCACGATAGCTCAAGTGGTAGAGCAGCGGCGTATCTAGCCGAAGATCGTGGGTTCGAATCTCGCTCGTGCCATTAACTTTTTTCATCTCAACTAAAAACCTTAATTAATTATTAGATAAACTTTAAAAAAGAGAAATTGTTTAAGGCGACATCTACAATGTATAAAATTTATAAGGTTTTTCAGTGATAAAAATATTGAAATCAACTAAAAACCCTTTTATAACAGAAATAGTTGTTTAAATATTTGATAAATTTTACTAAGACATACATTTTTATAATTTTTTATATTATTAAAATGTAAAGACAGGGGATGATGGTCATAGCACCCCTAAATTGACCTCGTAAATAAGTAGTCAAAATATAATTCAAGTAATTTGTTTTTTCTCAACATCCATCCTTACATATCTCGTTTATATTTAATTTTGCAAGCCAAATTTTTGCCTGTACACGTATTTATAGATATCTTTGTGTAAGTTTTCTTCAAAAACAGCATAGTTGTTTTAAAAAACATAATTATGTTTGTGATCTTTAAAAAACGTTTTTTTGCAGGGCTCAAAATATTCAGTTTCTTCCCCAAATATTTGTATTAATCTTTTATATAGTGTAGAAAAAACGAATATTTTCTGTGTTTCTTTATTAGAAATATGTTTTAATATAATATTATGCCTATCTTATGTATTGAAATTGTACATAATTTGTGAACGAAGTAGCATATTATTCCTGCCTATAATTGTCTTGTCCTATCTAAAAGAAAAAAACTTTATATACCTGCACAAAACATGCTTTATATAAATTAAAACTGAAGGCAGAAAACTGAATTAAAAACAATTTAAATTACTCAAATATTTATTTGCTCGGCTCCTATGGGTCACTGGCAAGAGCTCTTAAATTTATGATATCCCATGTCCGAACCATTCCTTTGCTGCTTTAGGGTTCACAAAAATGTCTATAGCTGAAATACTGTTAAAGATTTAAAAAGGTAATACTTTATAATAATTAACAAAGTTGTCTGAAACAACTTTATATAAACTAAATTAACATTTAAATCATTTAATTGCTCATCGTCAACATTTGAAAAGAGTTTAGGTTTTTTTTTTTTGGTAATGAACAATAAAAATATAGCCGGTAGGTCAATTATGAAGACAAAAGTCCGTATTTACTCCGTAAGTCACAGAGCACTGAGGGGGAAAGGCGGATATTGGAAACGAGCCTACCGACTTTCCTTCTCCTTGGGATTTCATTTGGACAAACCAATATAATGTATATTTTCTTTCCCATCTCTTCTTCTACTACGACAAAAACATTTTATACATAAAGTTATATGAATGGTATTTATATACATCAGATATATTTATGGTCAAAACATGTTTTTGGTAACAGCAATGAAATATATTTTTTATAATGAAATCGATTAACTGTTTTGTAGAGATTTTGGATTTCATTGAAATTTGCAGAAAGTTGTGTATTAGAATGAAACTGAACAACAACTAGAACCACACCTACCCTTCGTAATTACACGACAATGTTGCTTACTGTTGCTGGTAATTGCCGACGGAAACCACCCAGGTCTTCTAGGCCACAATACGTCTTAATAGAATTAGTTCGAGCATAATTAAGCTTTGTTCATCACTCTGAATTATAATGTAATAATAAATAAAACGTTTCTATTATTAAAATATTATTTTTTTAACACTCATATTAACAATGCAACGATAATAATTAGCGCACAGCGCAGATGCCCCTTATGTAAAGGAAGGTTGATCGATGTCTCTCACATAATAAAAGCTTGTCATGACTTGGCTCCTTACAGAGAGCTTGTAAGCTTGCCGATTTAAGAATGGCTCTCGTACGCAGTAATAATTTTCTGGGTCCTCTGTTCATCTTTTTAGAAGACGTGGGTTTTTGTAATGGATATAAATCTGTTTTATGTTTTTGTGGTCCTGAGTTTTGTCTGAGTGCGTGTATTTATTAGCGTGAAATGTAGGGGCACAATCGTCTCACGAGTAGTGTGTGTGTGTGACTAGCGTCAATGGCGGAATATTTAAGTTTTCATAGGCGCTAATTTAGAATAGCTAATTACTATTGCGGGTAGATCGATCGAGGTATCGATTACTCCACTGACTAACCACAATGAGTGCAATGCACATAGGCGAGAATGTATATATGTATACAGGTGTTAGTGTTAGGCTAGAATATATGTTGCATGTGTTGGGGGCTGAAACGACCTTGCTGTCAAAACCCCTTGGAGCCTCTGGCATTGGCTCAAGGGGGATACTAGCGACCCAGCCACATAATATAACGGGGTAGGTGAACTTCCGTGAGGTATAGGTCAGGAAATGACCAACATGCGCCCTCAGCTTTTAGATATCCAAGAAGCAGCACAGATATATATAAAACAACGATATATATNATATATATATACATATATATACACACACACATAGAAATACATATTTGTACACACAAAAAAATGAAAAAAAATTACCTGTAGAATCTTTGCGCTAGTGAAGTAAGTTGTTCTGTCCTGGAAAAATAAAAAAATAAATTTAAATGGTGAAATATTTAACCAAATAGCAAAGAATTGAATATTCTGTAAAAAATATTCTAAGTTTTATTTGTTAAATTCAAAAAGGAGGGAAAATTCAAAAGCTGGGGTTGAGATGGGAAGTTAGTGCCTGAGGGGATCGAAGTCACGATAGCTCAAGTGGTAGAGTAGTGGCGTATTAAGCCGAATGTCGTGGGTTCGAATCCCGCTCGTGACACTGACTTATTTATCTCAAATTAAAAACCTTAATTAATTGAAAGTTTTATTTATTATTAAATAATGGTAACAGTCAAAATATATCAATGGAATAGGTTTTATGTTGAACTGTTTTTTTTTTCAATTTGAAATTGCAATAAAAAAAAGTAGAATTCTGCAGAAAATATGAAAAAATTATGAAATGTAAGCTCGCTATACTATAAAATTTTACGACACTAGTCTAACGCAATTTATGAATATGTATTAATGTTATGATATAAATCATAATTCGCATTTAAATCCATTTCCTGTTTAGATGCAACTACAAAGACAGAGGCATTCGGCAGAGCATTCTGGATGGGCATAAATAAACCGTGCCCTGGGTTGTTACGACTGGCTTATAAAGTTTCTGTTTTGTGTGTGTCTCGGCCTGGTGGCAAGTCGAAATGAGGCTGTACGTTATGAGCGGTCACACAAACACATCGGACCAACAGATTTAGGACCACTTAGTCGCCTTACAGTTCCACTGCCCATGATTTATTTAACAGGAGCGGGCGAACGGGAAGGGGAGACTCGTCCATTAGAGCTGGAAAGAGTGAAAACGGCCGTTGGAAGGGGGGGGGGGTGTTTTTATGTTTGTAGGTCGCAGAATTGTACCCTTGCTAACCCTAAGTGTTTGTATGATCTGAAGCTCAATAAAACTTATAATGTATTCAGATAGAATTTTTATGAAAAAGTTATACACCTTTTTTTAAATATCTAAACGGTGAATATTAAATACACTTCTAAATCTTTGATTAATTTTCGCCAATCTCTCGCTATCTGAAAACCACTGTCCTTTTAGACGTTGATAGGATTATCGGGAAGAGATCGGGAGGAATGTCGTTATATATGAGGATTATAGTGGGATTGAAACTTAGTATGAAAAATTTTGTAGCTATATAATGCAATATTTTCATGAAGGGAACAGTTAGATCATTGTGGAGTTGCAACGATGCAATAGGACGATGTATTGTCAATGGATCTAAGAATTCGCAGGATTCTAGAACATAGGAAAGTTTTGTGAATTCCCATTTCGGTTGCATTACTTATATGAGCATTTTGTAGTCGAAGGAGAGCTTAGATCAGTTGACTATTACTATTTTAAGTAATCTTTACCACCGGTGAGTCCTTGTCAGGCTCTTGTACTCGCCAAGATAGAGGAGATCGTTTTCGTTGGATGAGGGTGTAATTGATTGGAGTTAGAGGGATGCCATGGAGTATAAAGATGTTTGGGATTTTATGGTTAATTTTGAGATTGATTCGGCATTTCTTGAACAATTGGCTTAGAGAATAGAGGTGTGACTGGAGGGTTCATGGGGTTGCAGAATAGATTAACAGTTTCATCATATGTTATGATAAAATTGCAATACTAGACAGCTACGAACGACGACAATACATTGAAAAACCGTGTCCGCTTTATACAAAGTAGAGTAACAGGGCTCATATTCGACAATTAGGTAGGTAAGTCTTGTTGGCCAGAAAGCGTAGCTAGGCTATGATGGCTTTTTACAAACTTACTACTGAATTATCGCATTCTTCGGATTTGGCTATAGGAATTTCTTCCGTTCCACTTTGATTCAGTTTATTAAAATTAAATTATATACTGGATAAAAATGAATTTTATTGATCTTGGCAAACCAATATTGAAGGTCAAAGTGTAATTATAATATTGTAAATGATTTCTTTTGAAATTATTATTACACATTCATTTATGCATAATGTATTGGTGTTGAAATAATGACATGACAGGTTTTTTGAAAAATAAATATGTCGTGCTGATTTAATATAAACACCAATCATTATTCGCTGATTATCTTCAAATATGCATACAATGCGTGCTAATTAGTGACCGTTAATTAATAATTATTTGGAAATCGTGAGATGCGGTTTGGTGTGATGTATGTTTAAAAAAAACATGTTCTTTATCGTGCCAACGTTTCGATCTTTATTGAGATCATCTTCAGGGCTCAAACAGTTTTTCTGTGTAGATTTATCATTCTTGTCTGTCGTGTGACAGTGCCAGCAAGGCCCGGTTGACAAACCCGTGTAGTAGTTTTTTGAAAAACTCTAAATGACTAGTATTTATTAAAGATTCAAATAAAACAAGCACTTTCATAGCTCCTTCACTTCACTTTTTCACGCCCATTTTTTTATTTGTGTATATATAAATTATGTTTTATCAAAAATCATGTTTAAAAAATTATCAATTAAAATGATTTTTCAAAGCGTTTTTTTTAATCATTTTTGTCTTTAAAGTTCAAAAAGACGCCTTTATTGTACATATTTTCAAATAAATATCAATTAATATGATTTGATATGCACACAAAAATTTTTTTAACCCATTATTATTTTTAATACACAACCTAACCGTTTAAAACATATTAAATGAAAGAGTAATTATAAACAAAACCACTGTAAATATCATACATTCCATAATTTAAATTGGAGTTATATTGGTATCACAGTTTCGATATTTAGGAGATCAAATTCCATTTATGTTTGCACATCAAATGTTTGGACAGCAGGAAAAATCCCTTATTGGCGCTTAAAGCAAATAGCCATTTATTAATTTGACTGTGAACGCAAATATGTTTGTATGTATTCAAAGACAATTTTACCGGATTTTACTACAAAACTCTTCGAAGGATTTCAAGTCTTCCGTTAAGTTAAGTTTTAAGTCCTGTGTGTTGATTCCACCTTGGTTTGCTGTCTACGTACGTAGAGAAGAGTCTGCTTTTTTTAATGTAAATACATACTGAATTCAATTTTTTTATTTTCATTTCTTCTCTTTTTTAACCAGACTGATAAGCTCGAGATGTTCTTGGATGTTAGAAGTTGCTTGGAAAGATTCGGGTTAGAAGAATGGACTGAATTTCATCCGCATAGAAGATGTGTGTAAAACTCGTGTTGGGATTGATGTGAAATTCTGAAATAAAATTGTAGTACAAGATGTGTCCGAGAATATTTATTTGTGGGACGCTGGCTTTCTGATATCTGAGTGTTCTTTGTCTCACCTCAATCTATAGCAGCGGTCAGTTAAATAGAATTTCAGAATATAGTAATATTGAGCGGATATGAAGCGTTTTACATTACAAAGGATCTTTGGGTGCTAAACCATATCAAAAGGGTGAGCCACATCTAGGAACGCTTTCAAGCTACACTCTTTGTTCGCTATAGCAAAGAAAATTATTAAGCTAGAATAGACTTTAAAGTAAGAAAAACAAAGATAAATTATATACTGGAGAAATTCTTGGATAAATTCTTCCTTAAGAGCAACGAATATAATTTTAAGGGTATTTGTTGCAACAAGATTTTTCCTTTAAAACTCAGCATGACATTTTCAAGAAAATTAAATTTATGTAGTAATAATGAATTTAAAATACAAAACGTAAAGTTAACTAAAAGCTATTTCTGTGTTTGGTGCAATTTCAATTTAAAACATTTACAAAATATATAAAAATAAATAAAAGCAAGTCTGATTTAATAGAAATTATAAGATAAAACAAAATGGAAAAATGTTTATTAATCTATTCAATATAGTGAAAAACTTTGAAAAATGGCAAAAAGGAGGGAAAATTCAAAAGGTGTGGTTGAGATGGAAGTTAGTGTCCGAGTGGATCGAGGTCACGATAGCTCAAGTGGTAGAGCAGCGGCGTATCTAGCCGAAGATCGTGGGTTCGAATCCCGCTCGTGCCATGGACTTTTGTATCTCAACTTAAAACCTTAATTACTTGTAATAGTGAAAAACCCTTGTTAAATCCATCTATCTTAACAACAAGTTTTTTAAAAACAGTTAGATGTTTTGCATTTTTAACATCTATGGACAATTTTTTCTCAATTTTGCACGATATGGTGAGAAAAGAATTTTGAATACAGGATGTTTTGTTTAAGAGGATTGGATTGATAAAAGCTGAACAAGATAATCGAGAAGTGGTCTTGCTATTTAAATGAAAGGCTGAGAACAGTACTCTAGGGTTTTGAAATGAAGGAATACTACAGTCAGTATTTTAGTTTTTCTAAGAGGTTTTGTAGAACAAGCCTGAAGTGAAAAAGGTACTCAGGGTAGGATGTGTATTAGAAATAATACGGTTTAAAAATTTTCTTTTGCGCATTTCAAATTATTTTAATTGATATTTGTTTGAAAATATGTAAAACAAGACGTCTTTCAGAACTGACATCAGAGAGACAATGATGATATAAACGTTGCTTTGAAAAATAATTTTAAGTGATAATTTTTAAAACATGATTTTTTATTATTTATAAAACATAATTTATATATACACAAATAAAAAACGGACGTGAAGAAGTGAATTGAAGGAGCTATGAAAGCGCTTTATTTTCCCTAAAACGCTCGTTTTATTGGAATCTTTAATAAATACTGGCCATTTGGAGTTTTTCAAACAACTCCTATGCGGATTTGTCAAACAGGCCTTAGTGGGTAAAGCCATGAAGGTACGAATGGCAAAAACGCTGAAAAAGGGTGCCTTCCCGCAAGCGAGGGTGACATTACCATTAAGTGGATAATTACGTTGAGCAATTAAATCCGGCCTGGGCTCGTAAATACATCAAAAACAGAAGGGTTGGCTCTTATTCCTACTCCTGAGTCAGAGAAGGAGGAATAAAGGAAGTGGTTCAATGCATTTTTCTCCGGACGAGGACTTTGGGGTATTTCGCCTTCAGGCGACTACAACAAATTGAATTTTTCCCTTCTACCCAAACCCACGCACTATTACTTTTACAAT